ACAGCCAGATAATATTCTGAAATTTGTAGAAGTCAATAAAAAAATTTGTATGTATTATATTAAAATGGTAACATTTTAAGAATATACTATAATTAATCACATACCCAAGAATATAGAAACAAGATAGTGTACTTGTTTCTACATAACGAGCAGATATTGGCAGTCAACCTATAACAGAGATGGAGATATAAATCAGCAAAAATAAATTGCCAGAGCTGAAATGTTCTGAAAATTAAAATTGTAATAAGTATCAATAGCACAGGCATGCCAGTTGTTTCAGCAATTTAGGCAGAATGTTTATTTAACAAGATATCTGTCAGACAATCACTTTGTATATTGTAGGCCTACTCTAGTTTAATCAAGCATGCTTCACCATAGAACAGGTGAGCCAAATGGTTCATTTCATGACTTACACCTGATGGATGACAGGGGGAATTTACCTTCAGCAATCAAAAGAGCCTCAGAGCACCCATAAATCAAATGCCGCAAAATGAATGCCTGCTGAAACAAAAACACTCCATAATACAAATATAAGATATTAGCGATTGTTATTAGTATCTGTTACAGCAAAGACTCCTGATCCAAACACAGGCAAACTAATTTAAGATTTCAGAATGGCACGACCTGGCATAGATTCTGAAAAGAATTCTGGTGATCTCTGCCAATAACAATAATTAATTCTCAAAGCATAGAAAGAGTAAAGAAAATAGCATAACTAAAATGACCCAGAAACCTGACAAGTTTAGAAGTAAGGCTTCAAAGAAGACCTGTTCATCACTGTGTATTTATCATGCTGGAGTTTTACAGTCACTATTGACAGATTCAGGTATTTTCCATGCTACATTCTCTTTATATTATATTAAAAGAAAAAAAAATTGTTGACTTGTTTTGAAATAATGTACGTTTTTTCCAACAATTTCAATCTGAGAGAGAAAAATGGGAATGTATATGCATTATAAGAATAAAACATGATCATAATAACCAAATAATCTGTGAAACTATCCAAACAGAACATTATCAATCACTAATTTTTAATAATTAAATTTTTATATTCATTTTGCATCCTACTGCATGAATATTGAATGTTGTAATTTGTACTTGCCATTTTTATTAATTAATTTAAAATAGTGTACTTATTTTAATAATGGGTTTTGATGTACAGTGCTTTGATCTTTTTTGTAAAGGCGCTATATAAATGCTTTTTAATAATAATAATAATAATAATAATAATAATAATAATAATAATAATAATAATATTTTACCAGTTCCAAAATTAAACTGTAGTACTACTACATACAAAAATCAAATTAGGAAAATGCGCTCACTAAGGTACTGCTATAGCTGGGTAGCATTATAAGCCTGGTTTCTTAAAATCACAGCATTGTTGCTACAGGTTTTCAGTGCAATGGTCATACTGCCTGGCAGTTCCTAATGCAATAGGGAAGGTTCCATGATTCGACCAACCAATCAGCATCACCAAAAGCTTTTAGCGATAGAGAGCGGCGATTGTATGGAAACAAAGCTTTAAGGTGCCTACCACACATTTCGTGCCTATGTACGGTGGTGCAAAGTATTTTGAGTAAATTTCGATGGAAACAACATACAGTACTGTACTATACAAACTATAACTATAACATTTACATTTGTAGCCGTTGATGCGAAAGGATACCCCACCTGCTGGGAAGCCCCCAGCTATCACTGTAAATGGATTGGTCTGTAGGTGATGTGCTACTCTGAGAATTGCCGTACATTACAGAAACAGAATCAAATTTATTTGTTATTTTGGAAATTACATTACAGTGCATAGCTCTAAACATTCACAACATACAGAAATCATACTGAGTGAGAGGTGAAAAATAATTAAATTTTACAAGATTTGTACACAGGATAATGAATTAGAAAGCAACGTAATTAACCACCAATCAAAATGCTCAATGCAATTTTTAAAAAAAACTTTTTTATTCAAATTATATTTCATCACATCACCTTGACTTAGCATTCTGTATACTGTTATGAATATGAACATTCATACAGTAATATAGGTCAAGATTGCAAAATACAGTGCTGTAGCTTTCAATCATTCTCTACCTATTCTCTACTTGCCTTCCAATCAGAATTAATTTTAGCATCAAGCTGTTACACAAGTGATTAATAATCAAGAGATTATTAATTAATGAGCTAGTATCTGTTCACAGGTGACAAAATTAAGCTGTACTCTAGTGGTAAACAAATTCTACAGGTGAACTGTAGGTCACTGAACTTTCATTAATATCAGGGTAATGTCAGTTGAAGAAAAGTAATACCACAGAAATATAGTTACATATGGGTGATGCATATTTTTTTAAATTATAATTTACATAATGTAGGACCAATAAGCTCAAATAAAATAACCTGACATTCACAATTTAATATTAATCAGCCATCACTAATTATCCTTTTATTTTATAAGATTACTATAAATAAACAACTTGAGATTCTTAATTACTTTACTCACCTGTTAGTAATGATAATATACAGTACTCACTAAAGTGCTGTAAGGATTCCTATATTTTCTAGCATTAACATTCAAGCAAAGATTTTTGGTTGTTTAAATAATTTTCAATTTTTATTTCATTTGTTTAGGCACGAGCACCAAGGATATGCCAATCAGCAAACTTAAACACCATCCTAGGTGGCATATCCATTAAATAACAGGGGACTGAATGGCCCAGTATACCGGGGTAAGCCCCTACTCTTCTCGAAGGATGTCCTGGGTTCCTTAAAGTGCACACGGCACAAATGCATACACTGGGCCTACATTATAAATTTCAAGCAATTAACATTTTATTTTAACAATAATTTGATACATAAAATTACATTAAAAATTACTTGTTAAAATACACCATCATAAAGAAGATTCCATACATTAAAAAGACACAATGATCTATGGTTAATTAAAAAGAAACAGTAGTAAGTAAAAATATTTTGCACCTATGACTTGGGATTTAACAGATTTATTTGACTTGCATACTGTAAATTTACCTGTATAAAATCTTTTATGGTCGATACAAACAGTAGAATTACATGTGATAAGTCACAAGGCCTTATCACTTCATTTAGATTCTATACTAGGGTTGTTCATGGCTCAAAGGATTAGGACTGGTATTCCCAATGGAAAGTCAAATATCCCAGTACTGTGTTAGGTGTCCTACAGTAGTACTGTACTGTGTTGGGCAATGATTGCACTTACTTAAATTTAAAAATGGAAATAGGAAATAAATTTATCCTAATCGGCATATTTTGAACTGCTAATCAATGATAACCCCCAGTGAAATATGGTTGCTAATATCAACTTGACATCAATAAAACCATCTTGGACGCCAACATCTTAAGTTTGAATCTTACAGGAAATTTATATAGTATTTTTATGGATTTTCGCAAATATTCCTACATCTGCGACAATCCCCCCACAAATGGCTCCAATGTGATAATCTTCACAAATGCCAAACAAGTGTTCCTAAGACCTACAGTAGCACCTTTCTTATTCAATTTCATTTTTTGTATAAAGTCTTTTGAATGCAAGGAGCTTACAAAATGAATTTTTTTTTATCAAAAAATGTCAAATAGTAAGCATAGGTAAATTGAAAATGGAAATTCAGATACTATAGTTAATTTGTGAAAGACTTGAACTGCCATATCAATAATGATTAAATTCTAACTTTTTATCAGTTTAAATTTTTGTTACTATTAATATGACACAATATTATAACAACGCTCATTATACAGATTGACTAAAAAATCTACACAGCAATTCAAAACTGACGAAAAATGAGTAGTATGTTTGTGCTGCTTGGTGAATATGAAGAAGAAACTGAATGAAAAAATAGATGAATGCAAGATTGAACATTTCATTTTCATAATTTGAATATGATATACATTTTGATAATGTTTACTATTACAGCAATTCATACAGAAGAGTATTGTGATGATGAAAAATTTGTTTATGGTGGTCTGGTACTGCAAATTAATGAACAATATTGTCTGAAATAATGCATTCATGAGATGATCTGATACAGAACAGCACAGGGATGTTTGTGGTGGGCAGAGGTGGGTGGGGCCACCCAGTCTTGAAGTTTTCCACTCAGTCTAAAGCTAATTTCATGGCCCTCCACCCACCTTAATAATGCAATTTTCCTTCCTTAAAATCCACTCTTATTATTTAAAGTTAGTAATGTTATCTACCCACCCTTAGGTTTCTACAGCTACAACTGTGTATACAATGGCTCGTGTGCACTATAAAGAACCCAGTACATCCTTCGAGACGAGTAGGGGGATACCCCGGTGCACTGGAACAGACAGCCCCTGTGGTGGAGGACGAGAGTTGCTGGTACCGGGTAACCAGGTAGCACAGACACGAAGGGACCCTTAGGGGCGAAGAAAGTCATTGATCGAGTTCCTAGTCCACATATCAAGCGCACTGAGCATCTTACATTAGATAGATATGTGCGCTATATAAAACTACACTATTATTATTATTAACCCTGACTGCATACAGTATTGTACTTGATCACAGAATTATACATAGTTGGATGAATAAATTTTGTATTTATCAACCCATATAGTATTAAAAAAATAATAATTTAATTACTTTCTGTTTAATTGACATGGCAGTCTTTGTTGAATCAAAGTGTTACAGTGCCACCAAAATGAAAACCTTTATTGGCTTATTTCTTTCTAGAGGAAGTAGATTGTTTTTTTTAGTTCACTAATAAATAATCTATTCATTAAAAAGCATTCTTATTATTATAAAAGATTGAGTATGTCACATACTCTTCATTCTAAGAATGGAATGACAAGTAAATAAACCATGTAACGAAAGCTTTCCCAATAAGTTCTGCACAACTCGGATATGATATTGGCACAGTGTACAATGACGTGATATCATTATGGGATGGTAATCACTCAATGCATCATGAGATTAACAAGATATTCTGCTTGAAATGATACACAGAGTTTCTTACCCTTGGTTCTTTCCAGCTGGAAATACCTGTGCCATCTTCCGCTTCCATTGCTGTTACTACCTCTACCTTTAGTTTGCAACATGCAACAACAAATTGAAGGCTACTGAGAAGTATTTAAATAAAAAATAACTAAAGAAACTAAGGGTGTGTTTCTACTGACAAACACAAAATAATCGATTTTTTTAAACCGCTTTTTTAATGAGTACCATTTATTTTTTTAAACCGCTTTTTTAATGAGTACTAGACAGCCTGCTCGCGTTTCAACTGCATTTTTGATTTTTCGAAAATCTGTTTTAGTGACAGAAATTGCGTCACCATTTTGTTTATACAACACGTTGTTTTCCTAAGTGTATAGGATAATATCTTTCTCATTCCTTTCATGATGACGAGGAGTAAGATACGGTGTGGGGCAAGAAGGCAAATGTTTTCGGCTGTGCTCATCGGCACAATGAACGAGCAACCAAACGAGGACAATGGTAGGCCCAAAAGAGCAGAAAGGCCTAGGCCCAATATCCCCTCCCCCCGCACAAAATAATTACAAAATGAATTCGTTGCTCCACATGTTTGTTGACATTTTAAGCTTGTAGGCCTAGGACATGAACAAGAGGACAAATTTTTTTGAAAGTTCGCGCCTAATATACGATCTAATCTTTGCAGTGATTGACATTTCACCTGATAATCACTTATTTTTGTGTCGATTTTTTTTAATCGCTTTTTTCAAACTGGTCCCGTTTCTACCGCGAGAATAAAAGCGATTTTTCGAAAAAGCGATATTTAATCGATTATTTCTTTCCAGTAGAAACAGGCCCTAACTTAAAAAACAAATAAAAATGTTCTTTACACTAAATATTAAAATTCAAATGAAGAAATTAGCCTATGAGATATACTATAGTATGGGACACAGAGATGGAGTTTGACAAACAAAATAATTAGTGCAAGGCTCCAGTGCAAGTACCCAGTATACAGAAGGGGGACTTTTTCTGATTGGTAAAAATGTTATAAATTCGTCCTCCAAAAAAAAACCCTGTCATTTTTCACTTTTCGAAATGTATTATACCTCCCGCTACCAGCGTAAAGAGACATCTTTGGGGCTTTTTTACAGCTTGGTTGGTTTCAAATTGTCATTACGGTTCTTGGCTGTTTGAAATCGTTTTTGTTCCCCTCGGATAAAGAAAGATGAACATTCACAGGTTCTTTTCAAATAAAACTCATCCCCATTGGTTAAAGAAAACCTCTGTCAAAAAACTATTTTCCATATTGAGGGAGATTCAACACAGCGCACCAAGCCTGATAATGCGGCATAGCTTTTTACCAATTAGCGAAGCTAGTCTGGAAGTTGTTTCGCATACTTAAATTTAAGTATTGTTGTGTAAGTATTGCACATTTTTCTTTTACATGCTTATTAAATAATGTATTGTTAACATTTATTGAAAGTTTGTTTGTCGATCAATGTAAATTTAAGGGTGTAAAACTATGTAAAACGTTCTGTATGTATGTACAACTGTTCATTGCCGTGGATAGGCGTCTCATCAATATTTAAGATGGGTGGTTAACAGGACAATCTGTACCGCTTCTTGATGTTCCACTGTATCCGGTATATTTAGGAAAGTTAATTAGTCATGTTGTTAATTAAATGTAAATTATTACTATCTAGGCCTAGTGTCATTACAGCATCTTTTTAATGCATTCATATGTTATACTATTATGTGCTAATTAAATGGAAGATTCAAACTGATTAATTCCCATTCAAGGACAGTGCAGGCTGGACTGATTAAATCCTATTCTTAGGTTGCAACGAGCAGTATTACGACGTAACAATGTAGTACTCTAAAAAAAAAACAAGGCTGACCCCCTTAAAAACCAAGCATCATCTTAGTGGTGAATTTTTAAGTATTGTACAGTACACCAGGTGAAAATAACCTGTTCTTTACCAAAGAAAATACTCTACAATATACGCAAGGGCTATGCTGCACAGCAACAACAACAACCACCACTCTTCCAAAACACTGTATTATTAAAACAGTAGAAAGTAGCTTGATTGGATGAAACCAGTGACATGAGAACTCATAATAGTTCAGTGGTCCACACAAAATAGTTACCACCAACCAGTTAATACCAAAACAAATTTCAAACTTACTCAGGGAAAACCCCCAATATGTTGGGAAGAATACACAAATATAAAGGTCAATACTGTAGCTCATGGTTAAAACCTAGGATTAAAGCATGTAAAATATTTAGCCACCTCAGCTAATGCTGTCTCATCACAGACCTATTGGATTATAGCTCCATGCTCTTATACATTATACATAATTAATTAATCTGATAATTATGTAGAGATAACCTACCTAGATCGGTGGACTTGCCTCCCCCCTTCCTTCTCGACGACCTCCGCGTCTCATCTTTCGATGGGTTTTGTCCCATTTCACATGGCCCTCAGACAAGCACAGCACCTGAAAAGAAAAATTGGGAGCAATAAATTAATCAAGGACCATAATAATAATAATAATAAAATGAATCATTTCTAGAATGCAAAAATCAACATGATTTGTACAAATTTTATAAAATGTATTAATTTATTTATTATTAATATGCTTGACAAGAAATGGTAAATCATCACACAAATGTAGGACTACATATTTTGCATTGGGTCCTTTAGGAGGTAATTGTTTTACTGTATATTCCAGGGACCACAGGCACCACTTGTGGCCCCTGTTGTTCAACCCCCGGCCCGCCAAATATTTGAATTCGGCCCTCGCGACTACTAAAAAAATAAATAATTTTTTTTAAATTTTGTTTCCTGTTATATAGCATTGTTAACAAGAATCTGGCATTTTCTGAGTTTAGTTGATTGTTAGTGGCATATATCATTGACATGGGGAGGGAACTAATGGGGAATAAAGGATTAAGTGAGGATGCTGATATGATGCGCTTTCTAAACATTGCCTGATACAGGGAGCAGGCTTGAGAGAATGTCACATTGTTAAAAAACATCTACAGTAGAACCTCGTTTTTATGTACCCAAGTTATACGAACCCTCGGTTTTACATACGCCTCGTATCGACGATGAAGTCGTCAAAACCTCCGAAAATATTCAAAACAAACGACCCTTTTCAGAGCAACCATAAGTTAAAAGACTATAACAATATTTATAACAATAAACAAACCATAATGCAACATATTTTCATTATTAAAACAGCAATGTTACGCATTCTCATATCAGGTTGTTATAATCTGAAACCCATCTGGTTGAATTTTCTACACAAAGCTGAGTAGTCATAGTTTCATACACGAACGCTAATTGGTTGGCTCGCCCAGTGAAGTGCACATGGTTGCTGTTTCACGTACACGAACGCTAATTGGTTGGCTCGCCCAGTGCAGCGCACCTGGTTTTAGTTTGTCACTGCAGGCCCAGACAACCCCACAGCTCTGTTGTTTAGAATAGCCATGAAGGGAAATTTCCAAGTTATACCTTTATCGTATAGGTAATCTTAAAGTATTTTCATGTTCTTTAGTTAAATAAAAGATATAAAGTAATAAATTAATACACTAGACACATGGTTTTATTCGTAGGCCTAGAGGCGAGGTCTAGCCTACTGTAGGTAACATCGTTCACTCATAACATACGTTTATTGAGCGTTACGTACGTATTAGGTCTAGGGTTACCACAAATTTAACCCAACCTCAATTTTACGAGGTTCTACTGTATTTTGGAAAACGTAATTTAAGAGTTTGAGGATGCCATTTCCAGGCATCTACAGTTTTTAGTATGCTGTCATTAAAAAAGTACACAATTGAAACTGGCCATAAGCTTAAAAAAAAAAAAGTAATGTGGTACAAAGCATTTAGTGTACCGCCGATTACGATGAAAACAACATAATGTACGTACAACAATTCCAATATTGAATTTGAGTACAAGAATCCCCCACCAGAATCCCTCAGTATGGCATCTGCGCAGGGCTAATAATCCGTAGATGGATCGGCCTATAGGATTTGAGCACAGGACACTGAGATAGAAAAGTAAAGCATCTTAATTATAAGATAGCTCTACTTAGTAGTAACTATATAATGTCTAGATAAGCAGTATATAAAAAAATGTTATTCAGTATAACCGCACTTAGACATGCAACTTCTACCAGTTCTCTTTTCTGATGTATTCTATTCTAGTACTTTAAAATCATGGGTGTGGTCATTAACTATTCAAAATTACACAAATCAATGGTGATGTTGCTAGGCCGAGGGCCCAGACACTGAAGACACTCTGACTTGCCGGCCATGAGGACAGTACACAATATCCACAGCACAAAACTATAAAAATCCAAGGCAACTATAGACACTCTACTGTAACTCAGGCTATTTCAAACGATCGAAAAAGAATGAGGAATTTGCATGGTTGCGGGGCCACTTGTGCTTGGCGCCAGGAGTCGACTGTTCTACTATTTTTCAAGGGGTGTTTCTCATGTGAGAAAGAATAGGCAATTAGTCGGTTTATCCAGGTATTCACGAAGTAGACTATGACATTTTATGATCTCATCTCAACCTGCAAAAATTACAAGATTATATGTTGTTATCATAAGATTATGATAATGTTAGCAGTATAACCAATTTTAATTATGGTTACTCATTCCTGCAAATTTGTACCAATATTGTTTCCTGCCGCTGCTTGTAAATACAGATCTCTAAAGCCCTGTCCAGACTATTAAATTTTATTTGTGATATCATCATGACCATATTTAGGCATGTCACATGTTTTTGTCAAATAAAATTTTATAGTCTGAACAGTAGTTAAAGGGACTAAAGGATGTTCTAGAATTTGTGTAAGTTTACATACTGGTAATAAAAGGAGTAACACAAGATGAGGCTTAAAATAGAAAATTACAATTAAAAAACAGGGGGTCGTCTTAAATTTTAAATCATTGTTTGTCGTATGTGCAGACTGTCTGTAACACGCAAATTTATAACTGGAATGATGCTGCTTTTGTATGAATGAACTCTATATTAAAATGCATGGAAATAAGATTTTGATGAAATTTAAAAGCCCTTAAAATGGTATTATTTGGAAGATTTGCCCTAAATGTGGCTATGTTTTTAGGAGCTACAGTACCTAGTGTCCTCTCATCAAGGTACTAACCAGGTCCAACATTGCTCAACTTCGATGTTCTGATGAGAATCCGTGTTTTAAACGATGGTCGCACGTACAGTATATTTTAATTTTCATGATAAAATTCAATGTCTTTTTTCAATTAGCTGTCCTAGAGTTTTCAAGACTACTTCAAATGTAGTAGAGTACAAATGATAATAATACTGTAATAATAATGGTAGAAATAATAACAATAATAACATAAATAAATATTCATGATTAACAACAAAATTAATAATATAGTACTAACAAAAGTAACAATTAATAGTCACTCCAGATCAATTGAAAATTGCTTAAAGTGGATGGTGTCAATTATAAATCTATAGAATTGATTGACTGAATACTGTATTCATTTAATTTAAGATCTAAATTAATTTGAGCAAGACATGAGCTCCAGTTCAATTCCTCTCATAATACTGTATACCTTCACAGTGCTACCTCCAGTACCTCCTCGGCTGCTAGGAACTGTTCCAATCAAAACGGGTTCCGGTTACATGATACTCAGTGGGTGGGTGCTTCTACCTAAATCACAAACTTTCAGCATGGGACATTCTCTCGGCTATGATACCTTCACTTCCAAAGTAAAACTGTTCAACAATTTGTTTTTATAAACCATACTGTATTTGAATAATGATAACAGAAATGCTAGGTAGGCCTACAGTTTAGAACCCTGAACTAAACAGAAGGAATTATATCACGTTTTCTGATGTAACATCCAGGCCAAAAAAAATGTAACAATGGAAATACTGTTGTATTATCATCTATGTCTGAATGCAAATACTGCCGAGTAGTTTGGAATTAAAGATAACGCAAAATTGTTTGCTATGTCAGAGAAGCTTTGTGACAAACTCTGCCACTATAATACTTACAGATTTAATTTACACTATAGTACACATGCTCTATTTTTAAAGTATAATTTATTGTTAACTGTATCACTGACGGTATGGATCTTATTTTGAACCTGAAAGCAATAATGCTCCTTTCTGAAAACAAATGCTTAGAATACTGTAGAAACACACACTATTTTCACATTCATTTTATTAACCAGCAATAATAAATTGGTATGCTATGGTCGGTGTAAGGCCGGGTGGTCATAAGGCAGGGTGGCCACTGACTTAAAAATATCACAATTAAATATTGGATGGAAACAATCTCAATATCCTTAACTCAAAACACTATTTGTGCTGACTAGTAGTAGGCCTCCTCCACAGGGTTGTAGCAAAGAGTATAAACAGAACATGAGAGCGTATTCCCGTTCATACGTCACTCCTAGTGTAGGACGCCCACTGTCGTCTGTATGTCCTTTATTACCCTGTACTGCACCGCGCAGTGTTTGTTTCTGTATCTGTTTTTAACATGATAAAATACTTTCGTAGAGGGCGGTAGATTTCCTCATTTTTCTTTAACGTTATACTATCGTGTGTGGTGCAGTACTTGGTAATAAAGCACAAACGACAGCGGGTGTCCTACACTGGCTGCGTATTGCATATCGTTTCTTATGCTCTCAATGAGCATAGTTGGCTCTCTTGTTGTCTTGTTATTACTCTTTAGTTGTAGCTGTAGAAAACTAAGTATGGATGATAAACATTTTAAGGGTGGGTGGGTGATAACATTGGTAAACTCTAAATAATAACAGTGGATTTTACAGATAAAAAAGTGGGTTTAAAGTGTGGGTGGAGGGTCATGAAATTAGCTTTAGAATGGGTGGAAAACTTCAAGGCTGGGTGGCCATCGCCCACTATAACTACTGTACCACAATCTTTTCAATATGTACAATTCTTGAACACAGACAATATTCAACACAATGTCAATACTGTAGCCACAATTTTAACAGCCTCATTTGGAATCATTTGGATTTGGATTAGTAAGAATATTTTTTGGTACAGATATAAATTTTATGGTGCAATACACCATACTATACTAGGACAAAGACTACTATCTAAAATCAAGTATAAATGGAGATGGGCTTATATACTCAATAATAGGCATATACTCGGTAAATAATTATAATTTTATTCTAGTTTTTGAACTCCTTGCTTGCTTTATCTGATCCCATGAAATGCCAGATATATAAATTATCTGACAATACAGTTATAATCAGTGTCAATGTATTGAAATAAATTCATTTGGATTCAAATATAATTCGTTCGCGAAACGTAGTGTGAGTACTATTGGTTTTTATTTTGCTGGATCAACACTAATGAAAAATTTCATACAAAGTGTCAATGTAGATGTTTAATTTCATTATATTATGTTTTATCTTACTAGATCATGATTAAAACATAATTAAAAATAATAGTAAAAAATATTTAA